AAAATGAAAACTGTATGACACCCTCGGCAGGGGATGTTTGGAAAGCTAACTTGGAATGGTTTGTTTAAAATGTACAGCCAGGGACTTTTCACCATGGGAAGCTCAGCTGAGCTTCATCTGAGGACTCCTGACCATGGGTGGCAGGACTGTGTACCTGGAGGGGAGACCTCCACCTTCAAACCCTTCACACTCAGCTTCCAGCTTCCACGTCATCTGGGGGCACTGTGCGTTTTCCACTTGTGTTAGTTATGAGAAATTTTGCGTGGCTGTATTCTGATTTTAGATCATCTTCTTGATAAGACCCCATGGCTCAAACGTCTGTGTACTGCACCATTGTGATTTGTATTTACTGAATTTTACAGGTTAAATACTGCTCCAGATCTTAGAAAGAATGACCTTATAATGAATAATAATAAAGGTAGCCAAGTTCAAGTAAACAAATACAACTAGAGACATTATAAAAGGAGTGAACTTGGTCACAGAGACAGACACACAGGCAGGGAAGACAGTAGGATGAGATAAATAGAGGCTCTGATCAGCAACAAACCAATGAGAAAGGGCAAAGCCTTAGCTGTTCCTCACAGCTCTCAGGAGGACCTATCTGTAGACTGTGTGTGTGTGTGTCAACATTCAATGGTGCTTTGTTTCCCAGCCATAATAGACTAATACACCGACAGGGCCAAGCGGGCCAGGAAACTAGACAGTATAAGCTCTTCCCTTTCTCCTGGACATCCATTCCTTCCTGACTGGTCTCTCAATTGTTCACTTCCATTATGATTTTTCTCCATCTACATTGCTTCTGGGACATGACTCAACTCTTTCAGAGAGGACACTGAACCTACATGTAAGGTAATGGGGGCACATGTTCAACCTTAACATCCGTAAGTAATGAAGCAAATATCTGGGTATTTGGGCAGCTGAGTTATAAATTGAAATACTTTGCTGTTAATCTGTATCTTTACTTTGGAGCACAAACCATAGATTGATATGGTGGCACATGCCTGTGACCGTTGTATTTAGGAGGTAGGAACAAGAGGATCAGGAGTTCATGGTCATCCTTGGCTCCATACTGAGCTCAAGGCTACCTGGGCTACCTGAGACCCTACCTTAAAAACAAAGCAAAACAACAACAACAAAAGAGACAAAAAAGTTGATGTATGATACGTAATAAAATTGATAATGCCCAAAAGTTAGAAATAGTTCATTTAATAAGAGATGACCTTTACATACTAAGATGCCATGTAGGGGTCAAGGATTAATTATGATAAATTCAGTTAAAGGGATGGGGAGACATATTCCTAACTGATTTGAAGATTTATGGGTGATTTTAAAGCTTAAGTAGCAGTATTTTCTAAATTTTCTGCAAAGAACACAAATAACCATCACAATTAGGAAAACCCAATAAATATGGATCTCACAACACATAAAATACTTTTTGTTCATGGGCAATGGGCAATCTTTCAAATATTTACTAAAACACCATTGTTATTTCTTGGAATGAGAGGGGGACCATCTTCTGCAGAAACTTGAGAACTGTGTGCAGAGCTACTGCAACAGAGGCGATGGAAGGTGGTGAATCCTGAGAGACTTAGAACCAATGGCATCTTGTCCAGGAAGGCCAGAGTGCCTCTGAGTCAGCCTCACCTGCTGTGAGGAGGGCTTGTCCTGTGGCGGTCATGGAACACCTAGGGGCTGGTTTTTGAAAGGTTTAGGTACAGCACAAGGATTCTATTTGTCGATTTAGCTACCTCCCCTGGCTGAGGTACCATAAGGCCAATGTCACTCAAGTTCCTGAGTGGTCAAAGTTCTGCAGCAAAGAGTATGAAAGTGAGGTTCAGGTGTGGTGAGAAGTCATTCCCACACATGGCAGACCAGTAGATTTCCCAGAGCCAGTCTCTCACACTGGAATTTGGGGGGCCTTTACTTTTCCAGATGCAAGACTTACCAGTTCTCTTGGACTCAGTGCAGGCCTTGTATTCATGAAGTAATTTTCTTCTTGGTTTTCTCTTCTTCCTGCTCTTGCCCCTCTTTGTTCCCCTTGTGCCCCTATCTTCCTCCTCCTCCTCCTCCTCCTCCTCCTCCTCCTCCTCCTCCTTCTCCTCCTCCTTCACAAGGTCTTCTTGTATCTCAGACAGGCTTTGAACTTGTAATTCTGGTTGAGTCTTTCAAGGGCTGGGATGACAGGCATGCCACCCAATAAACCTAAAGTTTCTATAAAGTAATTTCTTGAGGGAATAGTCCTAGTAATCTGGTTTAGTTTTATTTTATGTAATTTTATTTTCATGCAAGGCACATACCTAAATGTGGATAAGCTATACGTGTACAGCATAAAGAATTTTTATAAAATGTAAAGAGCACTCAAATGACAAACTTGAAAAGTATCAGCCCCTCAGAGACCTCCTTCATGCTTCCATCTACACATCCTCTGAAGATAGATTCTGCTTTTGTGTGTTGTTTAATATAAGTCCAATCATACTATACATAGTCTTCATTCAACATTGGTTTAGAAAGTCCATCCAGAGTTTTCATATGAATATCACTTGTCAATTTTCAATTTTAATCTCTGGATAGCAGGGCTTGGTTACTATAGCTTGTAAGACAGTCCAATATTTGCAAATGAAGCTGCATGGGACATATCTAAGCTTGTTCCTTTATGACATCAGTTTGCCATATGTATTATCCAGCTGGGTCTTTATAATTCCCAATAAGCTTGAGTACCTCTGAATATGTATAGCAGACGTGTGTGTGTGTGTGTGTGTGTGTGTGTGTTACCTGCACAAAACTCCTATGGAGTTATATGTCTTTTTAGTGATTTACTGGCCAGTTATTTACATTTGGTACAGCTTAAAATAATCAGCTAGATTTTTTCTTTTCCTCCCCTCCTTAATCCCTTCTCTCCACTGAGAAAGATCAAGGAAAAAGTGGATTTTAGTGATAAGATTAAAAATTTATGGGTAAAGGGGTGTTGAGTGGTGCTATTCATTTTAGAAATGATGAGAGAATACATCTGCTAGGTCCAGTATAGTAGTCACTGGCCTCATGTGGTGATTGAGAACATGAAATCATGGCTATTTTTTATCGAGGAACAGTTTTAACATTATATTTTATATGTGTGTGTGTGTTTTGCCTGCATGTATGTGTACCACATGCATGCAGTGCCTCCAGTGGCCAGAAGAGGGCATAAGATCCCCTGAGACTGGAGTGTCAAAGGGCCATGATGTTCAATGTGGGTGCTGGGAACTGAACCCTGGGTCCTCAGGAAAAGCAGTCAGCAGTCTTAACCACTGAGCAATTTTTCCTCCTTCCTTCCTTCCTTCCTTCCTTCCTTCCTTCCTTCCTTCCTCCTTCCTTCCTTCTTCCTTTTTCCTTCCTTCCTTTCTTCCTTCCTTCCTTCCTTCCTTCCTCCCTCCCTTCCTTCCTTCCTTCCTTCCTTCCTTCCTTCCTTCCTTCCTTCCTTCCTTCCTTCCTTCCTTCCCCTTCCTTTCTTTCTTTCTTCCTTCCTTTCTTTCTTTTAAGATTTATTTATTAATTAATATTAATTAATGCCTACATGCCAGAAGAGGGCACTGGATTGAATTATAGATGGTTGTGAACAACCATGTGGTTGCTGGGAATTGAATTCAGGACCTTTGGAAGAACAGTGTTCTGCCTACATGCCAGAAGAGGGCACTGGATTGAATTATAGATGGTTGTGAACAACCATGTGGTTGCTTCATCTCGCCAGCCCTGGAGCTGTCTTTCTAGTCCCTTTAGTCAATTTTAATTAAAGTAGCTATACAGGGTCAGTTGCTGAAAACTTAAGTAGTATAGGCTTTATGGAGAGTCAGCCAGATATGAAGCAGCTGGCCGGGAGGGCAGCTGAGATATGTGAAGGTTGTCTTCCCAAATGTCCTGGGACTGTTCAGAGACTGGTCACAGAGTTTTGGGTGACTGAAGTTATTTTCCCCCTCTTACTGTGCCTGGTGGCATTGCTATTACTGATCTTGCCTTTCCGTATGATTACATCTCCCTTGTTCTATCTTTCAGCATTTCTAGTTCTCTATTCTTGGTGAAATAAATCGTTTCCAAATACCTTCGCAGAGGCTAAACTGAATTGTTGGAACCACATTTTACCATAAAGACCCTGACAGATTTTCCAGCTTTACATAATGTGACTTGAAGTCACTGTGAGGTTCAAAATGCTGCTGGCCTTCTGGGAAGGCTCCCAGACACACAGAGACAGGCCGGCCCTGAGTTGTCACATCTGAGTCACACCATATCCTTCCTATAGATGAGGTACTGGAGTTCAACCATGTGCGTCAGAAACAATTTGAGGTCTTGTGAATGCAGACTCTTTGCTGGCTGCGGCATTTGTATACCTCACGACTTTTTGAAGTGATGACAATGTTATTGCTCTGAGGATCCACACCTCAAGAACCATGGCTGATAGCCAGACATTGGTGGCGCATGCCTTTAATCCCAGCACTCGGGAGGCAGAGGCAGGCAGATCTCTGTGAGTTCGAGGCCAGCCTGGTCTCCAGAGCGAATGCTAGGATAGCCTCCAAAGCTACACAGGGAAACCCTGTCTCGAAAAAAAAAAAAAAAAAAAAAAAAAAAAAAAAAACATGGCTGTGGGTAGGAAGTTAGGGTTAGGGATAGTTGCCCTGAGACTGGACAATCAGCTCCATTCCAGAATTTTACATGTGGAACAAAAAGGCACCAAGACAAGACTACTGGAGATGGCTACTAGACAAGACTACTGGAAACACCCATTGCATAGGCCTTAGAGCTAGTCTGGTTCTTATTCCTTTGGATAGATGACACTATATAACTTCTTTGTTTTGCATAGACTATCCATAGAAAGTACCTATTGTCTGTCTCTGCAGGAACTTTAACGAAGACACAAGAATACTAGTGTTTCATTAAAACTCCCAAACCACTGTACTTTTAAAAACTAGAGCAATTATAAAAAAGAAAACTGTGACAAAAGACCTCAGAAGCCAAAAAATGGAACCAAGAAATTAGCAGAGGCAGGAGGCCATCTTCATTCCTAGGTTGGAAGAACAAAAGGAGATAGTATTAATCCAGGCCAGGATGACCTGGAAGAAGCTGGGATTTTAACATGCCATGACTTCCCACAGAAACACCACCCACACCTTCTGTAGGGAGGTGGAGAAAGGGAGAAATTCTTCCTTCCTTCTGCCTTCAGTCTCAGAAGTGCCTCTCCATGCTGGGAAGCTTGGGAAAGACTCCTCGTGAGACTGAGGATAGCAGGGCCCTGTGGAAGAAGAAGTTAATACCTAAGAATAAGCCAAGAAACAGCACTATTCCACTTTGCAGTTCCCACTCTCTTTTTTTCCCTTCTAAGTTACCTTTGCCTACTTGTGGTTTAAAGTAAGATAGGGTGTACATATAATACAATTCCTAATCATGTGTTGTCATGAATAAGAATTGACTTAAATGAGTTTTTATTAACTCTTTCAAAATTAAGTCCAGCAAGGAAAATTGCAAGTGGCTGTAAGAACTAACATTTTTATCGTTCTGAGTTTTAGAAATGTTTTTCTAGCAACTCTCTCTTCTTTCTATGGAAAATAATTCATTTTTATAATACATTATGAGGATAGGTTTCCTTCCCTCATCTTCTCCTGTATCTTTCCCGGCCTCCCCACCCTTCCAACTCCATGAATCCTCTCTTTAGAAAACAAACAGGCAAATAAAAAACAAAACAAAACAAAAAATAAAGAAAAAGCATGAGAAATACATATACATGCAGACAGGCAAACACACACAGACAACCCATAAAAACAACACAAAATCGGAAACTATAATATGTAAGCAAAAGACCAGTAAGGTAAAAAAACGCCCCAAACAAAGCTTTATGAGATGAAAAGTCTACAAAAATGCCATTAAATTCATTGTGTGTTGGCCATCTACTGCTGAGCAGGGCGTCTGCCCTTAAGTGTGGTTTGTATGCCAGGTGAGACTTGAAGAAAACCAATTTTTTTTTCCCTTGCAAGCTGTTGTCAGTTAGAGTTTATTGGTTAGAGATGGGATCTCATGTCCACTTCTCTCTCAGTGTGGGAACCTGACTTGGTTTGGACCTGTGAAGAGCCTGAACTTGCAGCCACATGCCTCTTAGAGCTCACAAGTTCATCAGTCCTCTTTTGTCTGGAAGACACTGTTTCCTTGGTGTCATCCATCCCCTCTGGCTCTTAAAATCTTTCTGCTTCCTCTTTCACATAGTTTCCTGAGCCCCGAGGGAAGGGGTTTTGAGAGGACATCCCATTTAGGACCAAGTGTTCCAAGGTTTTTCACGCTCTGCACATTGTTCATTTGTGGATCTTTGTATCAGTTCCTGTCAACTGTAGGGGGAAGCTTCCCAGGTAATGACTGGATGAGACACTGACGTATGGGTATAGCAGAATGTCATCACAAGTCATTTTATTGCTATGTTCCTTTAGCAGAAAAACAGTTTTTCTTTGGTCTATGGCCTCTCTAGTTTCAGGTTCATGGTCACCTGAGCAGTGTCGGGTCGGGCATGAGTTCCGTCTCATGGAGTGGGCCTCAAATCCAATCAGACAGTGGTTGGTTACTCTGACAATGTTTATGCCACCATGGCATCAGCATCAGCATATCCTGCAGGCAGGTCATCACTGTAGATGGAAGGTTTTGTAGCTGGGTTGGTGCTTACCTTTTTCCTCTGGTAACATGCAGAGTACCTTCCAGAACTATGAACATTAATCAGTAGGAGTGGAGGCTCTCGTTAGACACCAGCTTGACTTCCCTGTGTTCGAGGAGATATGCAAGTGTTGACTTCAGCAAGAGGCTTTTATCATTAGTTTGTGGAGAGCAACTATTAAGTCTTTGGCAATGCTCTATTAAAGATCTTGCACTCACATATGAGTAAGCCTTACTTTCTGCTACTCTTTCCAAAGCCCGGGCCCATGCTTTCGGGTGTGTACTACTTTCTTCTGAGAGCCAGTCTTTCTCTTAACTATCATGCTTAAGTGGATCTTAAAACATCTTTACTAAACCCTAACTCTGCTCCCCCCCCAAAAGTGTTCCTATATGCCCCATCTAATATGCAAAAGTATGAAGTATTCTTACTAATTCTATTTTATAAGAAAGGAAACTGAGACTCAGAGAGAATAAATAACACACATAAGCAAAGTTGCAGGGCACAAAACAGTAAAATGGCCCAATCTCAAACCCAGGTTCAACACACAGCCTTAACTGCTGTGAAATACCAAGCTGTTACGTGATAACACATGTAAAGTGATAAATGTTCATTTTTCCCTGTTGCCGTCATATTCCTCCCCAAAGTAAAACCTTGTAACCAGAGACTGGAGATGTTATTTTGAATTATCAGCAGCATGCCCCATGATGCCTTTGTTTCCTACCTTCTCCATAGAGACAAGTCTATTCTCAATGGCTCCGAGTGTTCCTGATTAATAGTCGATGATTGGTGGGTGATATGGGGCCTTTTGTAAGATAATTGCAGGAGAGCACCAGTTGTTTAAAAATAATAGGGCAAAAGTAAAGAAACCCCCTTTTTTTGGCTCAGAATGTAAATTAAGCTAGAAAGAATGAAGGCTTTTCATGGTTTCTGAGTCACAGAAAGAATTAAATACGGGCATCACAATGAGTGTGTGAAAATGTGTGTGTGTGGGTGTGTGTGTGTGTGTGTGTGTGAGTTCCTCTATGCCATCATGGAAAGTTTAGGCTTCCACTGATTTCAGGTTCACAGACAGCATTTCTGATGCTAAAAAGCCATCTTGTTTCCCTTGGTTACCAATGCAACAGTGTGCAGGGATCAGTTTAAATCCATCATCACTTACAGAAAACCATTTTCAAATACCAAGACTTCTATCTATTATCTATATTTAGAGTTGATTGATGAAAGCTCACATCTACATACATACATACATACACACACACACACACACCTGTTTTGTCTATTGTGCAGGCTGTGCTTTCCATGTGGAGATCAGCTGGGTGACATGGCACACCCTGCAATACTGTTATGGAGAATGGATTCTTTTGCTTTGGGCAAGAGTCTATTCCTTTTCTTTGTTGCTAAGAACCAAGAGAGCTTGCTGAAAGGTGATTTCTAGAAAATTATTTCTCTGAGTGTACCTTAACAGTATGCTTTCATCCACAAGGATAAACCTTGCCTGATAGAAAGGCTCCAAGCTCAATTTATTGACTCAGTAAATTTCAAGCTCACTGCTTACGTTTCCACCTAAAAGCTTTCTACAGTTAAAAGATTCAGGGAGCCTTTAGAATCATCCTAGGTCTGGTTTCTTTCTGAATATTTTCCCACAGCAAACTATGCAATACATTAAGCCTACCCATTAGCTAGAGCATCACTGCTTGTCCCCTTGGTCTGATGGCCAAAGGAACATTTGTGTTGTCTGGGTTCCATTTAAGATAATATTTGAGATGGACTGAGTAGATCAGAAGAGCAACAGAGTTATACTGCTTCCGTGGAGGAAAATGGATCTGGTTTGTACAGAATAGGCTCGTCAAAAGAAAATGAGAATTCAGCAGTAAACCTCCTCTTTCACAAAGCTACACTTTCTCTGAGATTGTCATCCAAGAATATATTTCACTTGAACCTTAATATTTCAAGATGAAAAGGGGAGATGAGTGGTGACTTTCCACCAGCAATTAGGTGAAGAGTTGTTGGAAATTTTAATTGTCAATCTTCATTCCCTAAGAATTAAATCTTAATTTTGCTGGTGGAAGTGGGCATGTGAGCTCATCATAGCAGTACCACTGAAAGCTGAATAAATGCTTTTTTTTTCCTTGTAAAAAGACACCTGGAGATTTGCTCCTCCTGTTAATTTTTCATGTTTGGTATTCATTGAAAGAGATGGAGACACAGAACACTTTTATGTATTAAAACCAAAACTGCCAGAAGGGTCAGAATTCCACTATACACCCTTTGCTTACCTTTGAATACACATTTAGGTGTCTGTTGATCCGGGCAATCCTTGCAGGATACTGTTTACTTTAAGGTTTAAAAAAAATTTAGTTTTAAAAGAAAACGTGTGGGGAGCGAAGGTGGAGGGAGTGTTGCGGATTTTTAAATTTTATGAATGCATGATTAACTAAAACTTTTAGACATGCATGCTGTCTTCGGAGGAGCTGTGAGCCACCAGGGCGGAAGTCTCTTCAGGGATGAACAAAAGCATGGGTATGCGCTAGTATTATCTCCACTGCAGCAGGCTAGCGGACGCAGGTTTGTGGCAACTGTCTCTGTTTTCTACTACACTGCATTTTTATTAGTGACAGCCGCCAGTTTTTCTGTCAGGTCAGCCGAATAAGCTGTTCCTGTCTTTCTTCTTGGCTACTCGGTCTTGGTTAAAAAGGGGGAGAAGGAGAGAGAGGAGAAAGGTGAACTGATCCAAGTGTGGTGCAAGGGGATTCCTTCTTTTCACGGCTGGCGTTGTTTGATCCTTGGGGACAGGGGTAAATACAGGCTCGGTATTCAACCCAGACAGAACCCCTGGAGTCCTATGGAAAAGGCAGGGAAAGGCTTTTATGGACCCTTCCCAGCTGGGGGCAGGAGAGCCCAGTGGATCAGAAGTGCCCGGTAGGTGTGCGCGAGTTCAGGACGCCCCTTGGTCCCGCAGCCTACCGGCTCGTTGGCAGGAACAGAGGTCAAGTCAAAGGGCACGGCCGCTGGGTGCCCCTCCCTCTTGGCCAAGCAGTTTGCTGCTTGGTTTCTGAACAAACAACTCCCAGAATCCTAAGGGCCTGGTCAGGGCGTCCCATGCGCAGTGGACGCCACATTGTATCCTATCAGACGAGGCGAGGGTGATGTCACCTGCGAGTTGGTAACCTACGAGCGGCTGTGAAGGGAACTGTTTAACCGGATCCCATTGTACCGGGAACGCAGAGCGGCCTTTTCAGCATGCAGCAGCTGCTCAGGTGAGGGGACGCTTCGGCTCCCGCCGTACTCATTCATTAGCGGCACCGCACCGTGGCGCGGGGTGGGCGTGCTGGTTCCTCGCGCTGTTGGCGGCGCTCCTTCCTGCTGCTTCCCGGAGCTCCCGGGCCAGTAGGTAAATATTAAACTCGTCCTTCAGGTTGGGTCTGGGTGGGAACGGGACCCAGATTGCTACGGGCTGCCAAACTAGGCTTTGGAAAATGGCTGCAGCGCGGCACGGAACGAGGCGAGCCTGAAGGAAGGCGTCCCCGAGGATGGGGTCCCTCCCTTCTTTCTTTCCTAGACGCTCCGTGGTAGTGGAACCGGCCGGGTACAGCTCGCCTCCCGCCCGAGGGTTCTCTCGGGCCAGGGCTGCGGCAGCTGCGGCAGCGGGGGGCGCCCCCCCGCCGCCCGGGCTGGGGGGTTTGTGGGGCCCCGGGGGGCGCGGGGCCC